CCCCCCGGGAGATGAAAGGTGGCTGCTCGGTGGCTCTTGGGCGCCAACACAAGCGGAGATGTTGTAAAACGCGGTGTAATCGTGACGTGCGAGGCGCGGGGGGGGTTGTTGGTGTGTGTGGAGGTGCCGGGGGTGGGTTCGCAGCTCGTCATAAAAGGCAGAGGAGCTTTTATTTCTTTATTGCTCGCACTGGTCATTTCGGCGGGGTCTGGAAAAGATATGTCAGGGCGCGGGGTTGAGGTGGTTGCCGGGGAAGGCGCTGGGAGCAGAGGCAGACGACGGATCACTTTTAAGTTACTGTAGGCTTTGAAGGGACAATGCGCGTCTGTTATTTTAAAAGGTTTCTCTCTCTCTCGCCCTCCCTCCCTCTCGCCTTTCTCCCTCTCGTTTTCTCCTTCTGCCACACAGTTTCCTGGCAACTGTTTACGTCTAGACTTAGAGACATTTTCTCGAAGAAAGTGAGATGTCCAGGGACTATGTGGAAAAAAAAAAAAAGAAAAAAAAGTTTCTCTCTTTTGACCAGCAACAGCCATGATTAACTTGTTCCATGCTGTAATTCCCAACACCCCCCAGCTCTCGCTACCAGCATTACATGAGCCGTCTCGCCTTTTCCTCTCCTTCTCCCTGCTTTCCCCACATTATTTGACCAGCAGCCCCCCTTTCCCCTTCCCGGGAGCTGTTTTCGCAGAAATATTTGGGTCTGGGCGCATTTCGGCTCCCTCAGTGTCCCTCTCTCCCTCTGGCCTCCCCCTCCTCTCCTCCACCTCCTCCCCCCTTTTTTTTCCCCTTTTTGTTAATAATTAGCCGCACTCTTTAATGGAACAATGGTAGATTATTATTGCTTCTTTTCAGAGATCCCATTAACAAGGTTATTATGCGCTGCACGGGAAGTCAGGTAAATTAAACTTGCATTGCTGGAAATTAAGTTTCAGGCGGATTTTTTTACACCTTCGGGGGGTCATTGTTTTAAATACTCCAGCCCTGGAGCTCATGGCTCCGTCGGGTTTATTTTCCGATGTGATTTTGGGTGTGCACGAGCGTTACAGGGGAGGCTTCACTGCTGCCAATGGTTTTCTATGTCTGAGTTCCAAGAACAAGGGGTTGTTTCAAGTGTTTTCGTGGTGTTGGCTTGACTTTATGGCTGCAATAAGTCCCTCGGTAGGGAAACCCCCGCTGTGTTCTCACTTCAGAAGGATCGGGAATTCCAGCTCCCCATGAAAAAAAGGAGAGTTTCATTTTTTATTGGAACCAACTGCACTGAACTTTTTCCCAAGTTCTTAGCGGCTTTAGCTTCCAGACAAGCAACGCTCTGTTCTGTTTGCATTTCGAAATATTTGGGTGTTGTTTTTAATCCCCTCATCTATCTGCCTGGCTCTGCTTGGTGGGCTTGATCTCCGCCGGCCAGAAAAGCCCAGCGACAAAAAGTAGGACCTTCCCGAGCGGAGAACTGGGCTCGTACATATCGTAAATACTTCTCTTTATCTTTATTTACACCCTGGCAGCTGAGTGATGTCTGTCAGGAGGGGAGAGCGCAGTTAAATGTGTCAGACCACCTTCTGGTGCGTCGCGCGAGTTCCCCACTTTATGGCTCCTTCTTAGGAAACCTTGCGCCTGTTTTTGGGGGAGATGAGGCCAAAAATTGAGGAAAGATGCGCCCATCGGTGCCCTCAAAGACCAGTGGAACTTAAGGGCTACTGTCTGGGCTGGCTTCAGCCGTTATTGCTCCTGTCTGGCTCGCTCCCGGCTGAGCTGGCGTTAGAGGCGTCCAAAGAAAATACATTCGCAAAATCGGTCTCAGATTTACTCCGGACCTCAGGCGGGAGGGCGCCTGTTAAACAGCTACGCCAATAACCCGGGGTTCTATATTTTAAATTTCGCTTTTTAAAAGCTACCGAACCGGGGGTGGAAACCGCGTCTGCGCCTAAACATTCAATTCTCGGAGATTTAGTGCGGTTTAAGACCCCTGCTCGTATTTACATGTATCATAGGTGGCAAATCAATTAGACCGCGGGCCTGACCCTCCGGAAGATGAAAACTGTGACAGGCTTTGGGTTTGTTTGGGTTTTTTTTTCCCCCACGTTGGGAACCAAGTTTTCTTTTTAAACTCCCCCAAATAACCACTTATAGGGCCGTCCTTCTAAGAGGAAAGGGGTTTTTTTATCTGTAGCGCATCTAAGATGTCAGCAATAAGCAATTAGCAAGCGGCCACCTTCCATTAGAGCGTTTTTATTTTCTTTTAAAATGTCGACCCTCAAACTACGCAAAGCGCCCGTTTCAACCACAAATTACCACAGTAAGCGATGTTGGGATTAGGGGGGGATGAGATTCCTCCCCCTCCCCAAACTATTTGGAGGGATGTATCTGCAGAGCAATCACGAGGAGCGGGAGGAAATATGAGAGCAAACATTTTCAGCGGATTTTACTCACGCGTCGAGTTATCAGGACATCCCATTTCTTTGCCCAAAAATTTGCATGCGGGGCTGCTCCTGCCAGATAATCGCTGGGTTTGCAGGGCTACAAATATTGCGCAACTCTCTAATCAAACGTGTGAGCTGGTCGGCTCCTGCAGAGCAGGAAACTTCAGCCTCTCATCCGAGCTTTTCTTTTTTTTCTTTTCCTTCTTCTCTAGTCATCGTTCCCTTTCAATCTCACATTTTTTTTTCCTCGCATACCAATAAAGCAGATCTACGTAAGTTTGGGTCCATTCCATACACAAAGGGAAACTCTGCAAGAACAAATATAAAAGATATCAGTCAGAGAGGGGGGTGGAGGATGGAAAACTACTTCCTTTGCATGTTATTTCCTTGAATTATAAGGGTTACGTTTCAGTCGAAATGTTCATTGCAGCCGTGGCATGAAACAATCTTGGCTTTGCTGCTGTAAACACGATGTTTAAAATAAATTAGCTCGTAATAAGATCCCGGTTTCGTAGATACTTAAAGCTCTGTCAGAGAGAGCCGCATTGGCAGCTCTACAGCCACCATGGAAGATGTGTAATTCTAGATTTGGAGCACACACATTCACAGATTCAAGTAGTGGGGAGTGTGTGTTATAGGGCGCGTCATTTCAGCGCATATCAGACCCGACAGACAGACGGTCACAAATTCGGACAGGAAACAAACCCTTGATAAAACGCCAGTGATCGGGGGGCAGCCCTGGGGTTAATTTAGGTGGGTTTTTTCGGTTTGGTTTTGTTTTCCCGTGCGATGACTTTTGATTTTCCCCCTCGAAAATGAAGCAGGCGGCGAGCAGAGCTCTGCAGCTCTACCTTGGGCACGCGAGGAGCTGAAGGGGGGGATGCACAGGTAGAGCAAAGCCCATCTCTGGCCAGCGAATCCGGCAAAACCCAGAGCGAAGCGGAGCTTTTGGGGTGGCCGGGGATCGCTCGAGACTTTCGGTGTTGTCCTTTCCAGCCTTTGAACTTTGCAAAAATCGGTGTTTTGTGGGGCGGGAGGGCTCGGAGGGGGGGATGCAAACCCGCACCTCCGAGGCACCGTCACGGCGCAGCTTTGCCCTCGATAAAACCCTCCACCGACATCTCGATCGGTAACAATCAATAAACTCAGCTTTGGACCGCAACCCAAGGCTCTTTTTTAGCCATAAAAGGTCGGGCATAGATTTGGTATTAACAAAAAAACGCAAGAGGGCACAATGCGGTGCCGGACACCGGAGGAGAGCGGGATTTAGCAAAGGATAAAGGAAATACTTCGATTTTCCATTTATCTTCCGAATCCGGAGCTTTGGCAGAAACAAGAAAGGGGAAAGATGCGATAGATGCAAAGGGAAGGTTGGGTTCAATCGAGCGCAGCTTTCCTGAGCAGGGAGTGCTAATCTATGGTAATTAGACGAGCACGAACCGAAATAAGTTGTCAAAACCGATTTCTCCTCATACAGCAAATGTAACTCAATCAACCCGGCGGGGTCTCCTCCTCGCAAAGTTCGCACGAAAAACTTTTTATCTCACGTTTTCCTCCCCCCGCCCCCCCAACCTCCTGTTTTATTTAACTCCGGCGAAGCACCCGGACGTTTTAGGACGATTTGCGAACGCGAGGGGTTTAAGTTTTCCGAATGCGAATAATTAACTTTCCCCCCCCACCACTGACAGCGGGTATTTGTCCGCGTTCTATACGTGTAAATATTATATATAGGCGCGCACACCGCCAGCCGCGCTCGCACACCCCCGCGCCGAGCTCCGGGGGAGGGAGGAAGGGGGGGGGGGGGGAAGAACACACGTTTATTTATTTATGAAGCTCCGAGCGCGCCGGGAATGTTTCTTTCGGCAGATATTATATATTTGGTTAAGGGGGTGCATTTCTGTTGTTTAAAAGGGAGGGAAAAGGGGGTGGATGGTTTGTTCTTAGGGTCCCTGGTGCAATCTCAGCTCCTCATGGGTGCTATTTTGCAACCTCAGGCGCCTGCTATTGGTCAGCCCATGATCAGATGGTTGTATTTCCTTGTGTCCCTCGCTGGCACCACGCCATCTCCCTTCAGCTAAAACCCAATCTCCGATATACTACTAATAGCTAAACCACTTGGACTATAAAACACAACAAATCATAAAGCCGGGGAAAGGACGGCGAGGCTCCTTCCAATGAGTTCTTATTTTGTCAACTCGACCTTCCCGGTGAGTCTGGCGGCGGGGCAGGAGCCCTTCCTGGGACAGATCCCGCTCTATCCCTCGGGCTATGCGGATCCTTTGAGGCACTACCCCAGCACCTACGGAGCCACGGGCGTCCAGGAGAAGGGCTACACCTCCTCTCCTTACTACCAGCAGAGCAACGGAGCCTACGGCCGCGGCTCCGCCTGTGACTATGGGGCCGGCGGGTTTTTCAGGGAGAAGGACCCTGCGTGCCCCCCCCCCCAGCCTGGACGAGGTGCCCTTCGCCCCCGAGCCGCGCAAGTCGGACTGCGCGCAGAGCAAAACTGTGTTCGGAGAGAGCGAGGAGCAAAAGTGTTCCGCCCCGGTTTACCCCTGGATGCAGCGGATGAACTCTTGCAATAGTGAGTTTACTCTTTTACAGAAATAAATACATCAATCTCCTCCCCCCCTTTCTTATTTGTTAACCGCCAGAGAGAGAGAGAGAGCGAGAGCGAGCGAGGGAAGCAGGAATAAGGTTCACTTTAGAGCCCAAACTTCCAGCGGGGAACTTGGGCGACACAAGAGGCTCCAACTTGCTCCTGACACGCACCAAAACTTCCCACCGCCCAAGTATTTTCTCCCAGCGACCCCCCCCGAGCTAAAAAACTTTGCCCGGTATTTAAATCCCGATATAGTATTTCTTTCCTCCCCCCCCTTTTTTTTTCTCCCTCTTTTCCACATTCCAGTTTGCGTGTCACTCAGCTACAACGATTTGTCTCTGTCTTTCCCCCACACGCACAGGGAGATATCTTTTCTAAATCAGATCTGGATGACTTTACACACGCACCCGGACCCACGCCCCCACGCAGCTCCCTCTCTCGCTGGCTACCCGAGCCGGAGTTAAATAATATAAAAGTGTTTAAATACGTGAAGGGAGACGGTTACATTTTTAATGAAATTCGCACATAATGAAAAGTCTGCCCGGGGAGGATTTTTTTTTCCCCCTGGTGATATATGACTTCTTTAAGTGCTGTTTCCTCAATTAGAATTAAAAAAAACAACCAACAACAAAACAAACAACAACGACCAAAAAAACAACTGGGGAGGGGGGGGAGAAAAATAATCGAGGCTCACTCCCCTCCTTCCCATGTTTAGATGCATTTGTTGCCTTTTAAGTTCCAAATTGATGTCCATTAGCGCAGGGACATAAAGTGTTGTGTCCTCTTTAATGCGGAGTTTGGGCAGATCGATTCACTTCATTATTGCTTAAATGCTCCGATCTATTACAGTTGCCGGCAGGGTGGAAAATAGCGAGGGCGGGCGGGCGGGGGGGAGCTTTGCTGAGAACACCTTGCGATTTTTCATGCCGGAATAAGATAGATCTGGCCCTGTCTCCCCAGCCCTGCACGGCCCGGCGAGCGCAGCCTCAACCCCCCCTGCGCGGCCGCGGCTCCTCCGCGGCTGCGGCCCGGCCGGGGGACCCTCTCAGGGGCTCCGCGACCGCGGGGCTTCATTTGGACACGTCCAAAGCCTTTGGAGGGCAGGGGAGCGGCCACACACCCCTCATCCCGCATCCCCGCGGCCCCACTAAACCTCGGGGCTCTCCCTTCTTTTTGCTCTCCCGCGTCCTTTATTCCCCTCCTTCTCCCTTCCCATTTTCCCCTATTTTTCTCTCTATTTGTTTCCTACGTGTCTCCTATTTGTCTCCTGTTTTTTTCCCGCGGGTGTCACAGGTTCTTCCTTCGGGCCCAGCGGCCGTCGAGGCCGCCAGACCTACACCCGCTACCAGACGCTGGAGCTGGAGAAGGAATTCCACTTCAACCGCTACCTGACCCGGCGCCGGCGGATCGAGATCGCCCATTCCCTCTGCCTGACGGAGCGGCAGATCAAAATTTGGTTCCAGAACCGCCGGATGAAGTGGAAAAAAGAGAACAAATTGCTCAACTCCTCGCAACTCAGCGCGGAGGAGGAGGAGGAGAAAACGGCGGAGTGAAAGTATTATTTAAAAACACACGCAGGAAGAAAAAAAAAAAACAACAAAAAAAAGAAATTAGGGAGTGAGTGAGTGAGTGCGAGAGCCGAGAGGATGAGGGGGGTGTGGGCTGGCTGCGGGGACAGGGAAAACCTGCACGTTGGTGGGACAAGCCCTCTGGAGCAGCGGCAACAGCCAGAAAGTTTGGGCCACCAATGCCATGGACTCGTATTCCCAGTGATCTGTCGTGTCCAGGAAAAAAAAAAATCAGGCTTCTAGTTGCGTTTGGAATTTTTTTTTCCCTTCCTAGACCTCCCTTCCCTCCCACTCCACCCCCCTCCTCCCCCTCGAAGTGAAATAATAATAATAATAATTAAAAAGCGAAGAGATAAGAGAGAGAAGGAGGGAAAGAAAGGGAAAGAGAAAAGACACAAAAAAAAAAAAAAAAGGACTCTTAGCCGTGTTTCTACCCTTGGTGTCACTGTTAGTAATCTGCTAACTCTTGTATTTAATGGAAGTGCTGCAATATATGTCATTTGGGGTGTTTATTGTCCTAATTTTGTAAAAATGTTTCATGCACGGTTGACATAGGTTTTTGGTTTTGTTTTTTTCCTTTATTTTTTTTCTCCTTTGGTAAATTAATCAAGCCCTGGGGTCTTTGTAATTAGTTTTGGGGTGGTTTTTTTGCCTCTTTTTTTTTTAAAAAAAGGAAAACCTACTGAAAGAACGAGTACTACCTAAAAGGATGCAAAAGCAACAACAGAAAGTTCTATTTTATTAATTTTTTTGTACGTGTTGTGTTTGAAGTTTGTCTTAGGTATGAACATGGAATTCTCTAATAAAAGCGAAGTCTTCGATCTCACGCACACCCCCCTGTCATTATTATGGCTTTTATTGTTATTATCTCTCCCTTTTCCAGGGGAACTTGCCATTCTTAAGGAGCAGAGGGTTGTAAAGACAGCCTTGCTTCCCTCTGTATGACAATGTCTCCTAATCTGCAAGGACAAGCAACTCCAAGCCCACGGAAGTTACAGTGGAGAGATAAATCTGGTTTTCCCTCTTTTTGTCTAATCTCAAATGGAAGACCTTTCACCAATAGTATTTCCTCGCTGACATTCTGCTTTAGTGTCGCTCTTTTTTATTGTTACAGTACAAAGAGTTATGACGAAACGTTCTCCATATACATAATAAATCAAGGAAACGGGCAAAAATATGCTCTCATTTATCTACCAAAGATACCTAACATTTGCCTAGCATCTTTCAAACATCTGCTCCCTCTATTTCATAGCCCCCAAATCAAAGCGAAGTGTATCGCAAAAAAAAGTCCAGATTTCCAGGGAATTCGCCCTGAGAAACGAGGAGCTTCCCAGCTCCAGGAATTACAGCGTCCATTTAAGGTGGTGGGGGGTGAAAAAAGGCGGAAAAAAAAAATCTAAACTGAACCAAACGAGCTCTTTCGAAAGAGCAGATTTTTTATTTTTGGTTTCCAGTGGCTCCTTGGGAGAGCTGGGACTTCCATGGGGATGGGATGGGGACAGTTCCTGCTCCGTCCCGAGGAATCTCGTGCAAACAGCGAAACTTTTCCCGGGTTTTTGGGAATGAAACGAAAGGAACCGCTTTTTCCGCTGTGGGATTTAGGACTGAGACCAAGCGAGCAGCGCGGCCGATTTCGGATCCCGTTTTCTGCAGCTTCGCGGGGGGGAAAACGCGACGAAACAGCATCTCCTGCCTCCCATCCCCTTTTTCCCCCGCTCCCCAGCAGAAATACCTATGTATGAATGCATTCCCCCGCGCCACAAGCTGCTTTAATGTCAGTCACTTTTAAAATCAATTCATGCAGAAGCTTCACAGCTGTAGGACATTTACTATTATTGCCACGCTTTTCATTGCCCGTAATTATTATAATTATATGTCACTTTCAATATGGCGCATAATTTCCAATGAGTTGCAGACACAAGCACACGAAATTCCTAAACTGCCTCGGAACAAAAAAAAAAAGAAAGAAAGAAAGAAAGGAAGGAAGGAAGGAGAGAGAAAAAAAAAAAGAAGAAGGGGAAAAAAAAAAAAGAAAGTAATGCTTAACAAAGCGCAGCTCTTTCCCAACGTTTTTACCCATTTCTGGGTGCTTTTGCTCCCTAATATTCCTCGCAGGTTAACAAATGGAAAGGAAAAAAAACCACGCAGCACAAATGCTGTGCCCAAAGAGGACGCGAAACGCTCAGGAACAAGAATATCCCAAAAACTACGATGTCAACCAGTTCCACCGGCCGGATTTTCCCTCCTTTTCCTTTCTCCCACCTTCCCCCCCGTTCTCCCCCTATTTTTTTTTCTTTTTAATTTTTGTTTTCCCCTCCAGAATTAAGGTGCGACCGCATCGCTGCCCCCACGCTCAGCGCGCGGGAAACCTCGACTTTTTCCGGCCGAAACAACCCCAAAGCACCCCCACAATCTCCCTTCCTCAACCAGCAGCTTCTCGTCGCCCCCCTCGAGAAGAAGAAGAAGAAGAAGAAAAAGACCCTCCCGGCGCCTCATCTCAAACTTTCCCCGCCGCTTTTTATTTTTACGAAAAAAGAAGAAATCGAAGAGTTTAATAATAAAAAAAAAGACCAGAAGACCCACGCAGCGGAGAGAACACCAACCCAACCTCCTTCACCACCACCACCCACACGCGGGTTTTTGTGCCGATTTTTTTTTTTTAATTTTTTTTAGAGAAGGGGGGGAAAAAAAAAAAAGAGGGTGGAGGTGGGGGGGAGAGGAAAGGCCGGGGATGTTTTGGGGGGTCTCGGGGGACCCCCCCGAGGGGGCTGCACCGCCCCCGCGTTGCCGGCAGGTGGCGCGGTCCGCCAAGGTGGGGGGCGATGGCGCGCCCGGGGATTTGGGGCGCCCGCGCACCGACTTCGGGCCTAAAACGGCTCCGCGCTCGTCATTATTTGTAACCATAGAGCATGAATTACCTCTTGAGGTCATCAGTGAGAATTTACGACTGGTCAACAAAAGCACGTGATTCCCAAACGCACCCCCCACCCTCCCCCCATATTTGGCCGCATACATAGCAAAAACGAAGTACAGTGCATCGCTATAATTCATTAATACATCATAAATCGTCAAGCACGGGGTTATAACGACCACGAGCCACAAATCAAGCCCTCCAAAATAACCCAAATGAGCTCTTACTTTGTAAACTCGTTCTCAGGGCGCTACCCAAATGGCCCCGACTATCAGTTACTAAATTATGGGACCGGCAGTTCCATGAACGGTTCTTACAGAGATTCAAGCACCATGCATTCCAGCTCTTATGGCTACAACTACAATGGGATGGACCTTAGCATCAACCGCTCAGCCTCCTCTAGTCACTTTGGGGCTGTGGGGGAGAGCTCCCGCGGTTTCCCTTCTCCAGCTCAGGAGAGCAGGTTTAGACAGGCGTCCAGCTGCTCCTTATCTTCTCCCGACTCCCTTCCCTGCTCCAACAGCGAGAGCCATGGAGGCAAACCCGCCCCGTCCCCCTCCGACCAAGCTACTTCTGCCAGCACCACCAACACAAATTTCACAGAACTAGACGAGACCAGCGCGTCCTCGGGAGCCGACGAGGGCACTCCAATAAGCAGCAGCATCCCCCGAGCGCAGGCAGAGCCCATCGCGACCTCCACGGCAGCGACAGAAGGGCAGGCACCTCAGATATTCCCTTGGATGAGGAAACTTCACATTAGCCATGGTACAGCTACTTCTTTTTCCGTCGTTGTCGTTGTTGTTGTTTATTTTCGCACACCCCCCCTCTTTTTCTCTCGCGTTTCTTGTTGTTTTTTTTTCTTTTCCCCTTTCCCCCCTTTTTTTTTTTCCCTCCCCCCCCCCCCCCAACCCGCTCCCTTTTTTTTCCTCTCCTTCCTTTTATTCGGTGGAGGCGCTTTGATGAGAAACGCAGCTATTTATTGCTTTTGTATTTCTCGCTCTGATCGCTGCTTTAAAGCTGCCTCTGGCGCCTGGAAGGGGGGGGTTTGGGGGGGCCTCGATTTTATTTTAGTTTCGCTATTCTCGCAGCGAAAGGGGCGCTTATTTTAAGCTCGTAGCGCTGTGGGGATGGTGGGAGAAGGCAATTTAAAAATTGAGGCGAGGGGGTGTTCCTTGGGGGTGGGGGGGAAGGAAAGAATTGACCATTAAAATGGCATTATATGCACAGATGGGTCTCTCGCTCCTTTCCTACTCTTATTTTGCCGGGTGTATTCTCGACAATCTGCTCTTGACAAAACCCAAATTGCGAGGAGATACACGGGGAATGGAGACACCCCCCCCTTTCCCTTCCCGGTTTTCTCCTGGAGACAAGAAAGCAGCACCAAACCTGACGTTCCCTGCAAACAGACCCACAAACACCCAGGCAGAGGCGAAAAAGGGGAGATTTCAGGCTCTCGCTTCTCCAGTTAAATTCTGAATATCGAGTTGGGAATGTCGGTCCTGGAGGGGCCAAGGGTGGGGGGTTTTACACGTGTCTGGGGGTGTGGGAGAAAGAGGAGGCGGGGGGGGGGGGGCTGTTATTTGGGGAATAAGCAGCTTTCCAAGCTGCAGGAGCGAGGCGAATATTTTACCTCGGTTATAAAAAAAAAAGAAAAGAAAAAGAAAAATGGTCTTTAAAAATAAAAATTCTAGCAGAAAGCCAAAAACCCAAACCCCGCTGTTGTCCGTGTTATTCAGACATGACTGGACCAGACGGTAAGAGGGCGAGGACAGCGTACACTCGCTACCAGACCCTGGAGTTGGAAAAGGAATTCCACTTCAATAGATATCTCACCCGCAGGAGGAGAATAGAGATCGCTCACGCTCTCTGCCTCTCCGAGCGCCAGATCAAAATCTGGTTCCAGAACAGGAGGATGAAATGGAAGAAGGATAATAAACTGAAAAGCATGAGCTTGGCCTCGGCGGGCAGCGCCTTTCAGCCATAAATTCTAGCGGAGGAATTGTCGAGGAGAAAGAAGAGGAGGCGAGAAAAAGAAATAACGTAAATAAATAAATAAAGCGCCGCAGATCTTAGTTCCCGAGTACTGTACAGTGAGGCACCTTCTTTTCGGCATGTTGTTGATATTCTAAAACGACTCGTATGGTACCGTTGTCCCAGGACTGAGTTCATGTCTTGTTCTGTTTTGGGGTTTTTAAAAAAAAAATCTTTTTTTTTGTTTTTTTCCTTAATTAAATTTTATTTCCAGATGCTCCTCATGCTCTTGTTGTTCTTATAAATGTTATGTGTCCGTGCTCTCTTGATGCTTTCT